CCACCAGAATATTTATTCGTACGTAGAATATCTGCAAATGAACATAAATACTTATTCATTTATTATCGGATTTTTATCGGAAGTATCGGAAATATAGGATCTTATCGGATTTATATCGGATTTTCGTCCTAAATTCGGAATTTGGAATTTTTATTTCGGAGCACTGTGTTAAATCCGAAATATTACGGAATCAAAAAACAATTTCGCCCGAAACATTAATTTATTTATAGAATAAAATGGAAGGTCAGAAATTCCACATGCATATATGGTTGTAGCAGAATCTCAGAATGTCCTAAACTAAATTCGGTGAATATCATTGTAATAACTTGTTAGTATGGTGGCGTAATTATCGTTAAGTGCACAATTTCTATTTTAAGGTTAAATAAAGCAGGTTTTGAAAAGATATAAATCTGTTGAAAATAAATGCGTTTTCGACACCATACTAAAAATGGTTTTTTAGCATGTTCTTTTTATAACCAACTCTTCCGTGATGAATGAATCAAGTAATGCTTACACGTTTTCTCGACAAAATGTTCACAGCGAAAAAGGAGTGATGATATCAAAAGTATAAAAGTTTTTTTTTTCAGATGTATGGATGTAAATAATTTTTTCTAAAACAAAAAAATGCTTATTATACTTTATATACAAGAATTACTTAATATACAAGAATTTGAGATACCAGAATTTTTTCGCTTTATTGAAGAAACGTCAAAGGCAATGGGGGATAGATTCGAATGGTTTTGCGTTGATTTGTTGAGGAGATACTTTGAAAGATTAGGCATTAAAGTTACACACACCGGGTAAGTTTTTCTTATGGAGTTTTGTAGAGTCACTATGTATCCTAAGTTACGCTGTCACACATATGTAAATCATCTGAAGAATTGAAAGCACATCGTGGCCAATGTTTTGACATTGAACGTTCTTCTCAGTTATATGTGTCTTCGTGGGCCTTTTGGCGCGAGATTAATGATGAATAAGATACATGCTGGCGCCAGCTATATGTGACTATGAAACATATACTCATTTTAGTTATCAATTTAGAGGACCAAACGATAAAGGCCAGGATATTATTATTGAAATTTGTAGATATAAAGGCGTTATCCAATGCAAAGCTTGGTTTGCAAAATATATATGTATGTTGATTATTAATTAAAAAAGCATAATTACTGGTTTAATATTAAATAATTTATTTATAGCTCGTAAAGAAGTTGATGAATTTAGATCAGTGGTGGGTGATGGCGGATTTGATTTTGGGGTTGTTGTTGGTGTTTTAGAAGAAAAAATTTCGGATGAGGCTTATACCTCGGCTGAAAAATCAGAACATGATATTATCGTCACAACTTATAGAAATATGTGCCGAAATATCAAAAACTTAATCGCTGGTCGATTAATTCAAGAATTTCGTGCCTTAGAAGATAGACGTAGGTTCTTAGAAGATAGACGTAGATTTTTAGAAGTTAGACATAGATTCTTAGAAGATATATGTAAAAAATTTAAGTTAAATTATAAATTCATTTTCATTTCTTTTTCTGTAACTTTTCTGCTTATTTCGTATGTATTTTTACTTTATATGTTTTTATTTAATTGACGGTACTATCATGTTCTGATATTTCATCCGGGTGTAAATATTATATTTTCTATTTTTTTT